CTAACAAAAGGCAGAGAAGAGTAAAAGAGATTGTTGTTGTATCCTATGTTTTATATAAGCAATGAACAAGAAGAGAGAAAGATAGAGATATTATCATTTGCAGCCCATAATCATGGAGTTGATGACGTGCATTATCAGTCTGATGGCAGAGACATCGCCCGGTGCGCTTGCGTTACGCTGGTGGTGCAGAATCTGATAGACTTGTTCGAAGATTGGGCGAGCGTGGACCGCAATCATCTGATCTGATGGGTTAATGGCTGCAAGCACATCAGTCATCCAAGCAAGCTTACGGGATGTGTCCTTGCCGATGTCACATGCTAGCTGCTGCAGCAGTGACAGAAGAACTCCTTGGCTCAGCGGAAGTGGATTCATCGCCAGTAGTCCACGAAGATCCACCTGGTTAGGTACACACAATGTCATGCGATCTTATGTATAAATGATGATTGTGAGATCATAAGATGCACATAATCCAAACAAAAGTTCACCTGTGAGCAGAGCCATGACACGATAGAGACATCGCTTCTCTGTAGAGCCGAAGTGAAAGATTCTTCGTACTTGCGTTCAGATATCAACCTTGATAGCTCTGTTGTTGGATCCATAGGTGCTTCAACCTGAAAAGACATGTTGCATTTGTCAAAAACTCCAATACGATATCAAACTGGGATTCTGCTAAGAACAAGAAACGATTCTCTCTTTATTCACTCTCTGACTCAATTACAGAAGGTGAATAGAGAACTAAGTGAAGAACCAAAGACAGAACCCTATGGTAAATTCTAGAGTACCCTAATCTCTCCTTAGCACAACCCAAGATCCTAGATCAATTTGAGAGCATTTTTGAAGTAGGATTTCAAAGGAATCTTTTAACTGATTTATTCCAGAGATGTGCAAACCTTTTCAAGAAGAGCACCCAACGGTCCGCCACTTAGTTGAGTAACCAAGGGATTTGACCCACCAGAATTTGCTCCAGCAGCTGCAAGAGCTAAAAGATTCCTTTGGCTCTCCGCTAATTCACGACTTAAGGCTTGAGCGACTGAAGAGGAAGAAGTAATGGTTTCCTGAAAAACAGCAGCGATTGTAGTAAGATATGACTGTATTTTACAACCATGACAGTGCTGCAAGAAAGATAATTTTCCATCATACCTTTAAAGTATGAGCAAGCTGGGAGTGTCCAGAGTCAAATCGTTGCAAGGCTGTGTTCGTGTGCTCAGCAATTTTTTTCTGGAAGGTTGAGTCTATTTGCTCAAACATGGTCTTGCATGACCTCTCAAAGGAAGGTATGACTGAGGACTCCAGACCAGACCTCAGAGCTTCCTGAAGTTTATAAATGGCAGAAATATCAACACCATATTCACCAAACCAAGATGATGCAGCTGAGACTTCAGAGTACGTCTACAAAGTTTCATAAAACAGTGTAACTCGAATTTACCTGGAGGGCTTGCCTGCCAGAAGTCTGAAACTGAGCTTGAATTTGCTTAGCTATTGTTCCTTCAAGCTTTGAACTTACAGATTTGTCAAGCTGGTTGACTGCTTTGTCACCCAGTCCTCTCTATAAATATAAGAGAAATCAGAATTCTTATTCAACAATACAATTCCTTATAAATCACTTCTACATTTCTCGTAAAATTCTAACCTGGAAGGCCTCCGTGATTGCAGAAGATACAACTTTTTCAATAGCTGGTGTAGCTGCACGAGCTAGGATTGGACCAGATGCAGCTAATTCTTTCTTCAACATTTTCTCAAAGATGGCACTTAACTCCTTGCTCATGAAGTTTGTCATTGCATTCACAATTTGCTGGGCATGGTCACGCAATGCCTTTTCATTCTTAACCATTGCCTCTTGGAAGTGGGCCCACAGAGCATCAGCATTTGACTTGCAGGATTTCTCAACCATTCGGCCTAAAGTCGCTTCTAGTCTTTTACCTTCTTTAATGATAGGGCCATTGACAGCATTTGATAGTTGCCTCTGCATCTCCCTTTGCGAAACCAATATCTGGAAGGGAAACAATGTTCCAAGTTACCAAAAAGAAGACCTTACCAAGTTACATTTTAAGAAGAAAGTTAATTACCAATCATAAAAAAATGCCAGTAATGTATAAATTACATTTACTTATTTAAATCGAACGTGACAAAGGAACCAGTTATATGCCACATCCATGTAACAGCAAGTTTATAACTTATGCGATTAAATAATGCAAAAGTATAAAATCAGAGATTGTTAAGCAATATGGCACTCCTTAGTTTTAATATCAACACGTTACCTGATTCAAGATTTCTTGCATAGCTAAGGTTTGAGAAAGTGAATCTGTCATGGGATGACTGGAGCTATGACTTTGCTCATTGGAGGAGTCAGCCAGATTAGCAACATTTGAAGATGTAGAGGACAATCCAGGACCCTGTGAGCTTTTGGCCTTCTGTTTCTTCCCTTTGCTATTTGTAGCTGCTGACTGTGGAAGCCCACTAGATGAAACTGACTCAGGAAGCTTTGCAGATAAACTTCTGGAGTCAAAACCACTTTCATCTCCAGCTTGTAAAGATTGTCCATAAACCATAGAGTCCTCTGGACTGAAAGTTTCATCAGCAATAGGATGACGGTCTCTTGCCATCTCAGTACTGAGATTTGAAGCCTGTGAGCAGAAAATGTTTCCTCTATCTTCTGAAGTGCGATGCTCAGTTTCATCAAGATAACCGATTTCACCATTCTGCACCGACCTTGCTTCACCTACTTCTTTTACCTCAACTTCTGTGCCTCTTGCATCATTATTTACGACCTGAATATTCGCATCTCTATCCCTCCTGTCTTCACTAGTAATGGAGGTTTCAGCTGACGAAACACCCATCAATAGCTCTGAAGGAGTTACAAGATGAGTGGGGTGTTTGAAAAAAGCTGGTGGGCTTCGTATCTCCGAAGCATCATCCTCAGATGTAACATTCTTGCCCTTGCTTCTTGAGCTTTCCTCTACGGAAGATACATCCAAATTTCTTTCTCCAACAGCATCATCAGCAGATGGTGCTTTGCCCCCGAGCTCATGATGAGGTAGTACAGGCTCAGTAGCATCTACAGGAGTGTGATAGCCAGAAAGTTTTCTTGATAGTCTGGGACTTGCAGGAAGTTGGGGTGAAGTAGCAAACGCAGAGCCTGCACCACTTGTCTCAGACAGCAGGCCAGAAGTTTTCAGTTCACCGTTGGGTGGAACAATTGTTTGTGATGTTGTTTCGGCCGATGCAGAACCTGCTGGAAAACTCAACGTATTAGCACTTTCCAATCTATTCACTAGAACAGATGGTTTTGGCACTGAATCAACCGAAGGTAATTCTGTAGGATTAAGTCCAGATGGTTCTGACGTGCCTTCAACAAGATTTGCCTCTCGCGATACACTAGAATCTGACTTCTCCAAACCGGCATTCTCTATAGGAGGTGGCAAGCATAAGCATAAGTCTAATGTATACTGCTGGATCGCTTGAGTTTGAACACAATAAACCTTCACAATGGGTTCTTCTGGAGGATCATTTGTCCCTATAAAACTCAATATAGGCATAGTGAC